AACTCTCCCTCTGTCTTGATACACTCTACAATTAGTAATTTTATAATATGTATCATGTCCCTAAAGGCACCAGATCCTGTCTAATCCTGGAAGCTAAGTAGGGTCAACCCTAGTTAGTACTTGGGTGGGAAACTGCCAACAAATACCAGGTGCTGTAGGCTATATTTCAGAGGAAGGAAATAGCAAACCACTTCTAAGTATTCCTTGCCTAGGAAAATACTATAAATTTATGGTGTTGCCATAAGTAGACAGGCGCATGTATGCACATACATGTCTACCATAGAAATTGAAGGGGTAGCTACAAAGAAAGATGGTCTTTTCAGTTGTGGCCTTCCCAGGTATGAATAGTTCTCAAATTATTATCCCCAGAGAGGCTTACTTTAGTCTCATATGTTGTCATTTCAGTGCTAGGTTAAAGTGTGTGTGTTTTCCCCCCTTCAGTCCTTTTAACAGCCTGCTGTTTTAATCCTGTGACACTTGTGGCAGTTTTAGGTCCTATTACTTGTTGGTTGTTTTTAGTTCCTAAAATTTGTACTTTACTGTGTTTTTATGGTGAGTTGGCTTTGTACATTTCCTTCATGGATTTTAATTATATTACTATTTTTTTTAATTTACATTTTACAGTATCTTTGTTTCATGAAGCAGATAACAAAAAGATAATAGAAAAACTGCAGTGAAATTCCCATTCTTGAGTTGGGTATAAGTAATACAACATCTTGAAATTTTCACTCAAAATAAATGTTATAACAGAATGCTTTTGGCAATAAAAATGACATACTCATAGGACTAAATCCAACAAAAGCAGATTTCTGCTCATACAACTGTTGGAAAATGAGTGATAGTAGTGAATCTCACAAGCAGATTAATGAAATTAGCAATGCACAAATCGGACAACAGCCAGTTCCCTGTCCCACTCTTTCTCACACTGACAATCAGGCAGAGAGAAGAAATAAGCTTGAAAATATATAAAAGCAGCTTTACTTAAAAATTATTTGTTTATAATCAAATACATGGCTTGATGGAGGAGAGGGGGAAGAGAGAAAAGGCTGCAGTTTAGAGTGATGCAGGAAGAAAGTAGGTGTGGAAAAGCAGACAAACATCAAGTCGGCATACATGCAAAGGAGTAGCTAGTAAAGGCATGCAAAGGTTGCTAATGTTAACAACAATGGGCATTCCCTTTCCTTCCTCACCTTGCCACCCATATGTGATGATCTACAGATAAACTACTACAAAATTCTAAATTAAAGATTTCGGTTTTTATTTTATGTTTATTTTCAGCACTATATGCTGCTGCTTTGTTGCTTAGATTTAATTGTAAAAAAAAAAAAATTTCATTTATCCTTGAATGGGAAAGCATTGGCTTTTCCATCTCTTTGCTTTATTTTCATATACGTATAAAATAGTAAGAAAGTTCCATTACTTGTTTCCAGCAAGCAAGCAAACAAAAGTGAAAGAAATCCAGTTTCTTAGCTCTTGGGACTGACCCTGAATGGATATTTTTTAATTTAGAAAAAATACAAAAGAAGAACATGACAGACACCTATAATATTATGAAAGCCATGGGTGGATGAAGTTTGCCTATTATCTTTTTCTCTGTTTCTTCCTTAATGCTAAAAATCAGGATCATCTGCTGAAATTGATTTAAAGCAGAGCCTGGAAATATTACATTTATGGACTATAGTTTTCCAGAATCCTCCAATCATTTATTGAATTTATACCCTACCTATTACTCCCAATATGGTATGCAAGGTGGCTTTCATATACTAGAATGAATTCCTTAGCCACCCAAACTCCTGAAAGAAAGAGTGAATGACACAGTAGTTTTTGTATTTCCTGCAAATTGTGACAGCATATGTTTAAGTAAAAAAGTATTAAAAACAGATTGTGGTGCTTACTCTGTAATCCTTTTGATGAGAGGCAGACACTTTCACCATTTTCCAAGGCTTTGAAATGATCTTTGTCTTAATTAATTTTAATCAATGATTTATTGTTGGTTTTGTCTGATTTGTTTTATTTTGTTGTATTGCATTGATTCTTTAGTGATTTGTAATATTTTTGTAAACCACTCCACTGTAAACCGCCATCTGAAGTTGTTTGTTGTTATGTGCTTTCAAGTCAATTCTGTGTTATAGATACCATATGGTGAAAATATCACAGGGTTTTATTAGCAAGATTTATTCAGAGAGGGGTTGCCATTGTTTTGCTCTGAGGCTGAGAAAGTAGAATGTGCCCAAGGGAACTGTCATCAAGTGAACTTCAAGTTATGGAGACCCCAGGAATGAGAGACCTCCAAATCACCCTGTCATCAACAGCCTTGCTCAGGTCTTATTGACTCAGGGCTGTATCTTCCTTGATTGAATCTATCCATCTGGAATATGGTATTCCTCTTTTCCTACTGTTTTCTACCTTATCAAGCATTATTGTCTTTTCTAGTGAGCCAAGTCTTCTCATGAAATGGCCAAAGTATGACAGTCTCAGTTTATTCATCTTGGCCTCTAGGGAGATTTCAGGTTTGATTTGCTCTTTCTGTGTGTTTGTGCCTTCAAGTGTCCTGTCAACTTATGGTGACCTCATGAATTTCATAGGGTTTTCTTAGGTGAGGAATACTCAGAGGTAGTTTTGCCAATTCCTTCCTTTGAAATGTAGCCTATTTCTTGATGGTTTCTCATCCAAGTACTAACCTGGGATGACCTTGTTTAGGTGCCAAGATCGGATGGGATCTGGTGTCTGTGCTCTAGGACCCATTTGTCTTTTAAGCAGTCCATGTTATCTGTAGAGCTCTTCTCCAGCACCACATCTCAAATAAGTTGATTTTCTTCATATCAGCTCTTACCCTATATGGCTCTCTCCCTTTTTTAATGTCAAGAAATATTATAAAATTCATCTCTCCATAACCCTACATGTGGAAGCCATGAGCCTCAAGCTTCAGAACACATCAGCCAGTTAAGGAGTTGTAAAGGGGATGTGGCTCACCCACACCCATCTAGGGAGATGAGGAAAAGCCTATCAGGGAGCAATACACTAGTTTCAATGTAGTATTGTTCCTGCTTGAAATCCCACCAAGAGACAATCTGTGCAATATTTGCTCTTGTTTCTCATGTCCTGCAAGCTATCTAAAGCAGGAATCTATCCATTTGCATCCCAATTCTCACTTTGGAAGTCTCCACCCAAAAGAGTTACCCCATGCAATTTGGACTATTGGCCAATGAAATACCTGGACTTTGCCCCAGGCTAGAATTTCCCTTATAAAAACCTCAAATTTCCTCTGCTCAGTGGGCTAGTTTGGATTGCTGGGGAACATACTGCCAGTTTTTCCTCTGCTGGTTTCCTCAGTTACTCACCAACCTGCATTGGCTGGGAGGGACTGACTCCACAACCCATCTCTGGATCCCTCAAGAGGAACAACAGCATTTAGGTACAGTATTTTCCATCAGAAAACCTAATTCTATTCCAATCTAACTCCTTTGATTCTTAGCTTCTTGTATGCATGTGTGAGTGTGAATTCTGTGTATGTGTGTGTTTAATTTGTTTAATAAAATATATTTAATAGAAGAATCTGTCTCCAGTTCTTTGTCTCTCCACCTCCATAAACAATTGAGATATCCCGGGCTGCTCAGACATTTAATTGAGCTAAAATAAAATTCCCTAGATTTCACAGTTACACAGCTTTATTCACTGTTCAGCTTTAATAATAATAATAAGTTTTATTTATAGCCCGCCTCTCTGCCCAACAA